AGCTGAATTGGTGAATATAAAGATTGAATTAGATTCTAAGGTCAGTGAGCTTGAGCGTCTAAAATCAGAGGATATTTCAATATCTGTGGTTGGTAAAGATAGTGAAAAAAATATATCAAAGTCTAGACCCGAAGGGTCATTGCTTTGCAATAATAATATTTCTGCAGTTAGTGAAACTAGCAAAAATCTCAGTTAATATTTTGCACACAGAAAAATTATAAACGAAGTTGAAAAAATTAGCATTGATATACCAACTCATACCAATAATAAAATTGTTCCAATATTAGAATCTTCAAAAATCGATACTAAAGTTACTTCTAAGGTAAGTAATGAAACTATTATTAACAAAAATAATAAAGATAATATATTACAACCAATCAACACAGAAAACCAATTTCAAGAGATAAAGAATATGACTCCAATTAGATCTCATAATATTACAATAGAAAGGAGTGAGGAATTACCTATTATAGCATTAGATACTAAGTTTGTTATTTTTGCCTTGATAATATTATTAATTATATGGTATATATACAAGCAAATTTTTCACCCAACTCTGCCTTCTTGTTCTTTGAACTCGAAGCCAGATTATATCCACAGTATGACCACCTCTGGTAATTTGTTTTCTGGAATATACTCACAGAGTAAGGGTACTAATGTGCCTAAACTGACCATGAACGAACAAAGTGAAGTGAATTATCGGGGGGAAGAAAATTTTTATCCAGTTTATAGAAATTATAGATATGGATTTCCAGGAAGCAGTGCTTCGAGTTTCCAACTCATCTGATATACAAAAAAATCAAAAGAAAGAACTATTGCAGAACAAGCCCAAAGAGTGAACCAAGGATTATGGCTCATCGAGCTTATTTTCAAAGAAAATGAGTTTCACTCTACCACCTATGAAACTTTATCTTATGGATATAGATGAAGCTAATAAACATGAATCAATTCGAAATGTTGGACATCCAGCAATGTCATGGCCTTTCAGTAAAGTATTTACTGGTATGAGTGGTAAAGGTAAGACAAATATAGTTGGAAATCTTGTTCTGGGAGATAAAGCTGAAAATATATACAAAAGTAAAAAAGGAGGATCCCGATATATTAAGTGTGATAATTTGATAGTTTGTGGATTTCATCCAGATGAGCCAAAATGTGCATTTATTAGATATATGTATAGAGTAATTGCAGGTAATTCTAAAGCACCTTACTATAAAAATATAAGATTTAAATATATCTCACCTGAAAAAATTTCTAGTGTAAAATCATTTTCTCCAGAGAGGAGTACTGTAATTATTTTTGAGGATTTATGTGTAGCCCCCAAGTCCATCCAAAACCAAATTATTTTATTCTTTACACATGGGTGTCATCGGAATATTAGTCCAATTTACATAACACAAAAATAACATCATGTCTCGATAATTATTCGTGAAAATCTTACCCATTTAGTTATATTTAATAGGGGCAGTAGTTATCAGGATGTGTCCAAAATAATTGGACGATATACTGATAATGTTAAGAATGCATCAATGGTTATTAATAGTTACTTTCAAAAAAATGAATTTATTGTATTTGATCTTACTAGGTCAGAGGATGATCTATTAGCAATTTGTTTAAGATTCGATACTCTACTAGATTTGTAGAAAGAGATAGAGTTATGTCAAAAGCACAAGATAAAAAATGCATTGCCAGCTGAGCTCATGAATTCTGAACTCAAAAAAACTGAAAAATCGAATAAATAATATAATTAAGAAATTGATTAAATATTATGCTTCTATTTCTAAAAGTTGCTTTCGGAATCTAATCTGCAATTGACTCTTTTTAGAATCTATCCAATTAACCGGGATATAATATTCTTTATATTGACTATTAATAATGGAACTGCACATCATGGGATTGTTTTTATATAATTCAATCCATTTAGTACATCATTGATTAAATTGTTCTCGAGTCTGAGAATTTTTTACTTTATGTCGAGTTAAACCTAGAAATTTCTTATTATTCAGAGTATTATCATTTGCTAAGCTGTTCCAAGCGAGTCGTGCATTTGATGGCTCTCTTTCTTGAAATCGTCTCCAAACATTTTGAATAATTCTTGCCGAACTATCTCTAGTTTTTGGTTTATTACAATCATGATCCCAATGTTCTTGCATCAGGTCTTTAGGTTCGAGAATTTCTACATATCTACCTATAGTGTAATGAAATTTTTTTTTTAGCTTCACATTATTAACCTGAATAAGCTTCATACAATCGAGACAAATTGCCATACGAGTTTTATAAATTCTAGGTCGGTAGTAATTATGATCTACAAATTTACCCTTACTGAATGCTAGAAATAGAGCATGTATATGGTATACACTTTTCTTTCTCTCAGAGACTAGCTTTTGTAAAGGAATTCGAACTCTGAGTGCCTATTGCTGTGGAGTTTCATTAGGCTGAATAACTGATAAAGTATTATATTGTCTTTCAGTCTCAAAGAGTTCTTCAAAGAATTGTTGATAATCATTAATACCATAATAATTCAGAATATATGAGTTGACATATTTCATATCATATCCTGGTCTATTATTAATAAGTTTTTGTGATTTAGCTTTTTTATCAAGGATGACTGAAATACTAATGTTTGTCATATTTAATAATATATAGTAATTTAAGGATCTATAATGATTATAAGACTTATAATATATTACGTGATTTTATCAACTTTATACATAGTATAATTTCGATTCAAATTTTGTGTATTTGAAGTCAATATAAAATGGCAAAATTATGTAAAAAATATCCCAATATATGAGCTTTGAGCCAGAGGCAAAAAGTTAGTTGGAATATTACTCAATTACATTATATTTAATTATATTACAATCTAATGCTAATTATTTTTGTATTTCGGCAGTAAACCTCTTCTCATGGGTTCAAGATCTTAAATAAGTAGAAGCAAACATAAATATTGAGTTTGAAGAATGACTACATAGAATTTTTAATATAGCAATTATACTTACTGAGATAGCTTCGTCTTGAATTTTTAATTTTTAGTAATTGAGAACCTGACTTTAAAGATTTAGAACACTTCCTATCCCGTATTACAAGCTTTTTTGATGTCTTTGCTTTTTTATTATTATCATTAATACCTACTTCTATATTATCTTCTGAATCTGAATTGCTAAATAAGAAGCCGAATTTTCTATTTTGCTTGATCATTATTAAATGAACAAAAAAAACAACACTATGTCATACACAAGAAAGAACTGGTAGATTTTTATGAACCAGGATATTGGATCGGAAGGCAACTATCTGGCCCTGTTTGACATGAATAGCTAATTTAAGTTTAGGAAATACCAATTGCCCACCCTCAAATACTCCAAGTAGGCACACTACACAAAGTGAATTGCAGTGGTCTTTTGGATTCTGATGAAACTGGCAAATAGTGTTAAAGTTAATTGCTATAGTAGGGAAGATCCCGAATGACTTAGGAACATTTGAACCAAGATCCAATCTTTTCATCTTCGCATATAAGGTTGGATATGCCATCTGAAAATAATTATTAATAGCATTGGATAATAGTTAGAGGCCTTGGATTAGATCATTAACACATTTTTGATGATTTTGGTGGTGTCAAAATGCCATATTTGCTGTGGTATATGGTTCATTATTGCTACTCGTGAAAGTACCAAAAGTCTCCATCATTTGTTTGGCAAATTCTTTAGATTGGTGTAGTGGGTTATGGTGAGTATGCTGATAATAATGATCTACTACTGCTTTGGCATTGTCTGCTACTACAGGATTTGGAAGAGTATAAAAATCTACTATTGTTTTACCTAATGTATTTTTAGAACATTGAGGCTTGAGAACATGTCTATATTCACTAAGGTTAATGCCACACATAACTTTTTTTGTTGTTTCATCTGCAAGATTAAGCTTTTCTTTTGAGTTTTGTTGAAATGCCTTAGGAATAATATAATGCTTTAGAGGTTTTTTCTGAGCCTTTGTTTGCTGATTATATGCATGTAATATTTTTGCTCAAAGATGATGACAATGCCCTCTAAACTGTTTGTAGTAAGTTTTAGAGGTTGTAAAGTGTGCCTATCTTGCAAATTCCATCTATTGTTTACATGTTGAATTGGTGTTAAAAATATTATTAGAATACAATTTATTAAAAATCTCTAACTCTAGTAAGTTTAGAAATTCTATAAGTACTTCGGAATAGGATGGGATTAATTGGACACTTTGGGGTGGTAAAATTTTATCCATCACTGGTTTTGTATTAATATAAAGTTGATCCTCTCTTTGCTGTTTCTTTTCTAAAAACTTCTCAAAAAATGTGAATTTTGGACTCATAAATACGGAAGATTGTGAATAATTAGTCAGTTTAAGATCTCTCATCAGAAAATCTTCAGATGTCCACAGAAATTGGATATATTCTTGAGATTGCTCTTTTGTGGACAGATGTGTCATTCCTTGGGTTTTATGCTTGACCAAAATAAAAAAATAAGTTAGTTTATGGTGAAAAAATTATAGATGGTTCTAAAAAATATATTAATTCTATTTATTCGTCCAAGTGGATACATTTATATCATTCTACATGGTGTAGCCTGGTGGTTTAAAATCTGGGAAGTCTGTTGGACCTTTCTCACCTTGCATACGCCCCACATAGAAGAATGTCGATCACGCCTTAGAACTATGAAAGATAGAATACCTTATCGAAATATATGCTTATATAAAAAGTCAATTAGCTTACTTTCTGAGGATTATAAAATATGTTTATTTTTTCGATATGAATAGTTTCAGAATTGTAACTGGGACCCTCTTTAATGATCAAATAGTCTGGGTCTTTGACTTTGGTCTTTTTTATAATATGTAGTTCTTTTTTATATAAGTTCCTTTTGGAGGCCTTCGATAATAAAACATTTGGCGATTACATAGTGATAATATGATAAGTAATTTTATAAAAATAAAAAAAGAACAAGATGTTCTTTTGAAAACTAACAAATTCGGAATAGAACTTTGTAGTGGAGATGACCCTTTTATTATAAATTTCAGTACATAAAATTTTTGACACGAAGCAGTATATATGATATAAATGACTCGGCATTATAATAATTCAACATGAGTCAACTAACAATTCTTATTCTGCATCATAATAATTTAACACGATAATTCTATACTAACAAACAATTACATATTTACTATATTCAGCACCACAATTATTAAACACGCCAACAATCGCACATTTTCCATATTTGGGATTAGATTGTTAATAACTAGTTAAACAGGTATAGTTATACAGAGTATGATGAGAATTTTACATGCTATTTAAGTCCATTTTACAAATTTAGAATAACCATTAGCTGTATAACAAACATGTTGATCAAACATCTAGCATCACTAGGGTATCCGTGCTGGAAAAAATAAAGCATATATGTATTATGTTACATTGTATAATGCAAGTTAACGAACCTGTGGGATCGCTTTTATTTTGGTCTAGTTCGAAGCTAAAATAGCGATTTTTTTTTCCTCAAGTATTGTGAGAAGGCAGGTTCGAATGAGTGATAAAACCTTAACCAGCTTTAATAATCAATGGCCTGCATTAAACTTTATGTAATGTTACCTTAACTTCTCATGGTCGATTTTTGATAATGAATATCTAGAAAGTCTTTTCTTATTATATATGATACTGTGATAAGAAAAAGTGCAAATGGAACTTAAAAGGACTATAATAAGGAAGAGTACAACTTTGTTTATCAGTAGTTTTATCGAAATTCATATGTTACTAGGACTTGGAATCTCCACCATTCCCAGATTGTCAACTTTTTTCACTTCGTAGTAGCGATTGTCAAATCTAAGGGGGTTTAATTTTACCTAAAAAATGATGAAATGGATTCAGTATTTGGAACTTATAGCTGAACAGGGTTGCTTTACGTGGCTGGATCTGGTATTGTGTTAGGGTAATGCAATTACTAATCATGTAACTTTTTTTTCTGGCAGGTTTTTTAGATCTATCGAATGAGCGATATAAAAATAAACGATTTTTGTCAGTAAGGTAAGTTACCAATAACATTATTTTTTGCTCATATATTTTTTACCTGATTCACTTGCCTGTATATTTTTTTAAGTAATTTGTGTTATTTCATTTTACTTCAGCTATGAAACCAAATTTTTTTCTTACTATGATTTTTTTTGTATTTAGGTATGAAAAATGAGCAGTAAAAAAAAAACCACCATCATCAAGACTAATGACACCAACACCATCCCCAAGACTAATGACACCAACACCATCCCCAAGACTAATGACGCCACCACCATGTGTAATAACACCACTACCTCCATGACTAATGATAGTAACCCCTCCGAGAACTATTATGTCCCCCAAACACCACCCAATCCAAGACCTAGCCAAAGGACACCTAATTCCAATTGCCAATGTAGAAGTAGAAGAAACAGATATGGTAGGAGGTAACTTTTTTTAGAAAGTGCTTTTTATATATTTGTGAAACTAAGACTAAAACTTATTTTATTGGGCCATGTCCATGCATTAAATTAGATGATTCAACCTATGACCCCAGAGAAGATGATGACTATAACATTGATGAAGGCAGACCCTTGGACAATTTTTCAGAAGAAAATTCAGAATGGTGTGAGAAAAATGATTTTAATAGGTATGAGAATCCTGGACAATGACAAGAAAGGCTAAATCAAAATTAATAAATAGTTCATATTTTTGTCTACAGTATGCAACTGTGATGTATTTTTTTATTTGTATATTGATTCGGCAATATTATTTTTTATAATAATAAAGTGGGGGTCCCATGGCCTCGCCATTTTTTATTTTTACATAATTTTTGCAATGTAATTTGCGATTATTAATTAGTGGAAATAATAGAGTCCATACCTAATTATCTTATTAACCTATGCTTTTATGGTTACTATTTGGATTGAATTTTGATATTTATTTTTATAACAATAGAGATGATAAGTTTTTTCACCACAATATTCACCACTTCTCCACTTACCCTCTATAAAATTTCTTATATTCTCTTTTTTATGATCATTATTGCATATAGGACAGAGTACAGATCTATTAAAATCAAAATAATTACTATATTTAAAACTATGTTTCAAAGTTAAATAAGGAAATCGTTCTAATACCATTTCAATAACATGTTTTTGTTTCTCTTTCAGGTCTTTAGGTAGAATAGAAATTGATGATCGAAGTTTGGATAGTGTAGGCAAAACATTTATCTGTGGTACAAATAACATCTTTTTTTCGACATCCTTTTCGATTTGTGAGGATTTGGGAGTTTCAGACTTTATCCAAGAATTGAGTCCAGTCTCTTCCGCATATGTTCTATATAAGCTCAAACAAATTTTATCTGTCTGAGAACTTGGTAAATCAACTAAATTAGCATACCAGTCCGAATATTCAGGAGTCAAGACTTTATCCATGTTATTGTTTTATATGATCACAAATTCAAATTAAGTATGAGTTGTGTTTTTGTCTTACTTATATAACAAGGATACTTACATGCTGACACTCTGTGCATATCCCGAAATAGTAACTAAAAAATAATATAGTTAATATTTACGATCATTTGAAACCAGAGAATTTGTCAAAAGCAGTATGTCTTTATGATTTATGCTGTTATCTTGATTTCATGCTTTCCACATTTAATAAAATAAGATCCAGCTTCGTATCTACCCTTTATACTTTTTTCTTCCTCGTAACTGTGCTTGTATACTAGACATAAGAACCCCTCATGAATTTCATAATAATCAAATTTTTCACTACTAAATTCTTTATATAGATCAGAATATCTCCACAATATCTTATTACGAAAGTAAGTATGGTCATGGATTGCCTCAGTTTCCAGTAGAGTTTTCTTGGCCTCCTCACTTACCTCAATTTCTGGTAATTTTGACAGTACCAACTCTGCTGATGAATCGTTTGAGCTAGATAGATCTGACATATACGCGTGACAATTTGTCACACCGATCACTTTTTGGCAACTCATATCAGTTGTCTTGGGAAAATCATTTATAATATTTTGAATTTGATTATTCTTTAAACTTGAAATAGCACTTGCGCTGTAAGTTATTTGACTAATTTTATCAATTCCTATTCCTTCATATAATATATATACTTTTTTTGCTCTGGAAGTTATTTTACGCAAGTTTACATCAGTGATATTAGGAAGGAGCGATTTTATTTCATTATACACTATCGTTCTTGCCAATTGGTCATCAATATTATTTGCAGTCTTAACATCATTGACTCGGTTTTCGTATGCTTTGTAATAACAATACCAGCACAAACTTTCCTTTTGTCGAATCTTCATTGCTACCCTAAATAGATCAACTATATTTTGTGACGTAACATTACTAGATCCTGATAAAATCGCTTCTAAAGAGAATTCAGGAATCTGAATATCAAATACTTTACTAATCTTGTGGTTATTATCTTTGGTGCAAATAAATAGCTCGAGTCTTAAACCTCGTTCTACTTTTTGATTATAAGGAATTTTCTGATTAGGCGATAGATTAGTAGGCGATTTGGACTCAGAACCACATGATGAATTAGATTGATTTGATGAATTATTATCCAAAGATAACTCAGAACTATTAGAGATAGATTGCGATATTATAGATGATTCCAGATTTTGATTTTCGTAGGATGGTTCCGATGAAGTACTATCCAAAGATGAGTTTTGATCTCGAAGTTTCTTTTCCCTGATTCTCTCCATTATCTCTTTACTAACACGTTCTTTATGTTTCATTTCTACAAAATCAAGGGTCTCGGCCGTATCGACATCGATAATATTTTGTGGCAAAGAGGTTGTAGATGATTCAGCTTTTTGGACCTGGGTTAAACTATGTTCTATTTCAGGCATAGGGTCGGGAGTAATAGCTTCCTCCTTATCAGGTTGACTCCCATTAAGTGGCGAAATTACTTTTGTGGGAATATCATCAGAATTTGAAGTGTCATCGGACATATCTGATGTCGAAACACCCCCAGTTTGTAAGTCTATTTGTTCGGGAGTGACGTTAGAATTTTCCATTTCGGTAGAAACACTTACTGTCTTTTTCTCGGAAATTGGCAATTGCTCTGGAGAATCAGTGATAATTCCCTTTGATTTTATTTTCTCGAAATCACAGCTTAATTTTGCTACTTTGATTTTAAGCTCAGAATTTTCAGCTGAGAGATAGGTGATATCTTTTTTATTTTTTTCTAGCTCCACCTTAAGGTTAACATTCTCAGCTTCGCGTTTAGCATTTTCTTCAATAATCTGTTTTAGCTTCGCATTCTCAGCCTCAAGATCAATGACCCGTTGTTTCAATAAAGCAAACTCAGATTGCATTTTAGTAACTTTTTATATAAAGCAGGTTTATTTAATTTTTAATTAGAATTTCCGTTCCAATTTGGAACGCAGATCACTTTCGCCAAGAAAACTATTCCAGAAAAATTCTTGATTACACATATACAATACACGAAAAAATACTAGTGCGTGACAATTTGTCACGCCGATCACTTTCGCCTGCGTGAAAAATTCTCGATCATATACGAGTTAATATACATCGATAACAATACAATAAAATAAATTCACGAAATATACATGCAAA